ATGAGGGATCGTTCCACTGGCCGTGCTCGTGGCTTTGGATTTGTTGTCTTTGCAGATCCTGCGGTTGCCGAAAGGGTTATTTTGGAGAAGCACATCATCGATGGCCGCACTGTGAGATTTTCTCCTTTTAACATCTGATTTCTGTTCTTCTTGATTTCCTGAGATTCAAATCTAATTCTGAATAAATTTAGATGTGATGCGTTCTGTTGATGCAATTTGTAGTATCTGAATGGTTGAATTGTGTACTGGTTTGTGTGAAATTGTAGTTGCTGTCTTGTAAATTGTATCATTTTCGATTATCAGGTTGAAGCTAAGAAGGCTGTTCCAAAAGATGATCAGAACACATTGAACAGAAACAATGGTAGCATCCATGGTTCTCCTATCTCGGGACGAACAAAGAAGATTTTTGTGGGAGGTTTAGCCTCGACAGTCACGGAGGCCGACTTTCAGAAGTATTTTGATCAGTTTGGCACAATTACTGATGTTGTTGTTATGTATGATCACAGCACGCAGAGGCCGAGGGGTTTCGGCTTCATTACTTATGACTCGGAGGAGGCGGTCGATCGTGTGCTGCATAAGACCTTCCATGAGCTCAATGGAAAGATGGTTGAGGTGAAAAGAGCAATTCCAAAAGAGCTAACCCCAGGGTCCAACCGAAGTCCTATTGTAGGATATAACTATGGTATGAGTAGAGCTAGTGGTTTTCTTAACAGCTATACTCAAAGCTATAACATGAGTCCTCTCGGAAGTTACGGAGTCCGAGCAGATGGTAGGTTGAGTCCAGCTATTAGCAGTCGTACCGGGATTCCTCATTTCGGTACTAATAACTATGGAGTTGGTGTGAATTTGGAGCAAGGACTGAGGCAAGGCTATGGTAGGAGTTTGAACATTATGAACAGCCAAGCACAGGAGCAAATGTTGAATTCCTATTACAATGGGAATTCAAATAGGTTCATTACCCCAATTGGCTACAGTGGGGGAAATGGAAGAGGTGATTCTCTGTTAAGCTCGAGTACGTGGAATGTGTGGGGAAATGGAAGTATGAACAATGCCATGAACTCGCCCGACCCTGGCGCTTTCTCTGGCTCTGGAATGGGGAACTTCCGAGTGGCGTATGGAAACGACGATAATTGGAGTTCTGCTGCTGTTGGTAATCATGTTGGAGTGAATGCTCCTCCTGGCTACACTAATAACAATGGTTATGGTATTGGAGAGAGTGAGTTTGGGATCAGAGGAGGAAGCTACGGAAGAAATGGAGTAGTCTCAAGCGTGGCAACACGAAAAGCCTTCGCTGAAACGACCGATGGTTACGAGAGGTCGTATAGGGAGCTGTATCGTGATGGAATGGTGCATGAGGATTCAACATGGCCGTCTACCACTCCCGAACTGGATGGTTCTGTGCCTTTTGGTTATGGTCTTGGTAGCCTTCCTTCAGATGATCCAGCCAAAAGCTCTGAGAATTTTCTTGCTAGTTATGATGTTTCAAGCAGACAGTCATCTAGAGGTAACACCCTACACCCTTGGCTTTGTTTTATAACACCATAATATCCAATTATACTGCTAGGAGGCTTCATTAAAAACACTCATTAGTTATCTGATTATGATTCTAGAATTGCAATGAATTGGTATTTGATTGTTGTTGGGTTAACAGGAATCGCTGCGTAGAAGATTGTCGTTTGGATTTTTCGAACATGAATGAATATAGTGCAATGAATGAAAGATAGGGAAGAGGGATATTTGTGATTCGTGAGTTTTATATATACCCCGGTAGCTTGCTCGTTCGTTTGTTCGTTGGTTCAGTTGATGAGTTAAAAAAGGGAACACTGATCTTGTAACAATTTGACTTGGTTCGTCGATCCGAAGGCGATACATAGGGAGGGAGATACATATAATATATATATTTGGAAGGAAAGAAGAAGAGAAAGGGAAATGGAGAATTGTAATTTTTGTTATGTGTTTTGGATTTTTGGTTAAGAAGAGAGAGAGAGAGAGAGAGATAGGATTGGTAATGTTGGCATTTGATTGAGGTGTAAAAGCAGCAGATTGGCAGATAGAGATACTCCAGAAGAGTGATTGTTATTTTTATCCCATGATATCCAGTGAGTGAGGCATGGCAGCAGCAGCAGTAGCAGTAATATCATTATCATTGTCATTATCATTATCATTTGATTTAATGAGGAACACAGGTTATTATTTATTCTATACATATATATATGCTCACTTGGGTTATGCTGCTGCTGTGATTGATTTGTTCATATGTTTATGAGAAGAGAATCAATGAAGCAGCACATTATTTCATTCTGTGATTGATTGGTTGATTATATGTTGAAGAAATTGTTTTTGTTTTTGTTTTTGTTTTTGTTTTTGATCCATTTTTGTATGCCAATTTGATTCTCTTCTGTTCTCATCCTTTGTAGATTAGGATATGCTTTGCTTTTTTGGCTTTTGCATCTCAAGAATTCAATGCTTTTGTTGTGTGGTCCTTTCATTTATATTCCTTGTTCTTCACCAGTATATGGATAAAATCTCTTTGCTTCTTCTTCCTGCTTTGGTTTGCCCTTTATGGGTCCATGCATATCTCACCCCACTTCCCCGCCTATCTTATTTGATTCAAATGGTTAGGGTCTCGAGTTTGTACCGGGTTAGATTAGGAAATGTTTAAAGTCTTGAGAATATAAATACTACGCCATTCAAATTGAGTTATGAACTTTTTAACTATTAGAGTTCGTCTTTTGATTTGACTGGGTGAGAGTGGTTTTTCTAGCGGATTCATTTGTTTTTATTTAAGGTGAGTAGATGAGAAATTTTTAAGTGTTGATTTCAAAATTTCAATAGAGCTTACTCTTTTACTCGCTCAGAAAGGACTTATTTAAGTGTTGGTTTTTCTAGCGGATTCATTTGTCTTGAAGGGGACTAATTTTAATGAAAAAAATCTATACTAAAAGGTCATTGTTGAATGTTGAAACGAGCGAGTTTCAAGGGTATCTCACTAAGACAACGATATGACTCGTTCAACCTAATTTTTTATCCCTCCTTAATTTTTCTTAAAATTAGGCCTCTTCAAGATTGGATACCATAAAAGTCTCTATGGTTCTAGAAACTAAAATTCATAAGGATGTTATCAAAGAAAATTTGGAGTAACTGCATCGCTCTTGAACTCTCTCCCACCTCAACCAACCGTCCGTAAACACCTATGTATCGAGAGTCATCCTTAGTTTGTAATAAGTTTTCATCATGTTCTTAATTTAGTCCATCTTTGTATTCTATTTCTAAATGTATCCAGAGCCATCCTTAGTTTGTAATAAATTTGAACAGATCGACTAGTGTTGATTTTTTTTTTTTTTTTTTTTAAATTGTGGTGTTGTTGGTCTCGATTTGATTTAATTTTATCATATTTTATTTCCTTTCATCTTATCTTTTTAGTCACAATACAAGTGATATATTTGTATCAAAATATGGATGTTATAGGAACCCAAGCTACACAATAACACGAAACCCACTCAATCGATCATGCAAGTATACGTCAAAAAATCTAACTACAACAAATCATGTACAACAACCACGAAATTAGAATAAAAACCACTAAGAACAAAGACAATCTAAATGGGACGAGTGCAATTGAAGGAGGCCAAAACCGAAAGGGAGATCAAGGAAGAAGAAGAGGAGACATTCAGCCAAAGAGAGAGAGTCGACACGTGCCATGCTACCAAGCTAAAACTAAAAATGAACGTTAACTCGACCTACCACGAAAGGTTAGAACTTTGTTGATTTGGTAGAGACATTCCTAATTAATTATGAACTCCTTTAATTAATAACTACTATTATGCCTAATCATAATTAATTAAAGGAGTTGCAACCAATGAAACTCGGGGCCTCCAATACAATTATGATTCTTAATTAATATTAAGAAATCTTATAAAAATCAATTTTAATAATAATAATTCAATCCTACTTCTACCATTTCAATTTCTTTTCAATTATACCCTTAATTTTTTTTTTTTAATCATTCCTTAGGATTTGAAAAAACAAAGTAATAGATAGAATTAAAACTTTAGAAATATTGAAACAAAAATTAAAAAAGTATTTTATATATACACACAAGTGGGTCTGAACTACTCCTTTGCAAGCATGTTTTGTTTTCGCTCACATGTTTTGACACAATATCTATCACTCAAGAGTGTGAATAGATCTGAAAATATTATTCCTCAAATAAACAATATAGAGTTAATGAGAAAATAAAATTGGGATCGAACGTTCAATCTTTATTCATATTCACAATGTCTAAATAGGATACAAGCTACCATCTAATGTCTACTCATCAGAAAAATATAAACTAACTAAATCTTGATAATAAAATAAAATATACTATTAATTAAATCATAAAAGAAAAATATTAACGAATATCTAAGATATATACTACTAATCAAATCATAAAAAAAAAAATATTAACTGATTACGAATATCTAAGATATATAACGGATTATGAATATATATATTCGATAACTAATATATTCTCGAAATATTTACTGATTACGAATATCTTAACTCATTCAAACTAGCAATAAGTTGCACTGAATTCTAGCATGTTTTTTTATGAAAATTCTAGAGATGACACCTAACATAAGAGCAAAACATACCTCATTTTAGAGTTGTCATGATTCAGTCATCAATTTTTTTTTAATAATTTCGTTAGTTCATATCGTTTATTCTCACATTTCTTAGACATCTCTTTAATACAACTATTATTATTATTATTTTGTCATTTTAATTATTGAAATTACTATATTTTCATTGGAATATTGGAACTTTTTATTATATATTTAAAAAGTTAAAGAAGAAAATAAAATAGATTCCCTTTCCCTACCCCTACCATGACTTGATAAGTAGCATCAATTATTTGAAAGCAAAAGTTAGACATTAATCACGTGGCTACCTATTTTTACCCCTATGGCCATGTGCTTGTGGGTCCCACCATCCCAATTATATGATTAACCCTATCATTCATCAACCAAAGCTTCATATCATACTAATACTAACACACATTCAAATACATTTCAAACTGCATAAACCAAAAAAAACATGAAACCATACTAAAATCAAGTCTACTCGACCGTGAATTTGATCAGAAGAACGCTCTGCTACCGTAAAACACACGAGAACCGTTGTTTTTTGGTGATTGTAGGTCCGGGTTAGAGCTCGAACTACCCGAACTCGGAGGACCATTTGTGTCGATATCCAAAGGAAGTTTCATCTTTGCCAATGACTCTGTAAATTGTTGCATACTTTTCATGTACATGTCCACAATGTCTTGTTGCACTACTTTCTCTTCCTCTGGCTCGATGCTCACGCAAACTACTGGCTTCGTAACTGTATCACTTGCTGCCTCGCTACACAAATCGTTGACCTCGCTGTTTTTAGCATTTGGTGCTGAAACATGTTCTTGGGTTTCAGGTTTTGAACTTGCTGATGTTTTTGATGACTCCGAGCATGTAGGTAGTGATGGTGAAGAAACTGCGTCGTTTGATACACTATTAGGTGGAGAATCGATCTTTGAAGCTTCACTTGACTTCTCGTTCGACATTGGAAAGACTGGATTCTCACACTTGGGAATGGTTGAGTTCTCTGAAGATTCAGAATCCAAATTCGAACACGTGATACCGATGTACTCAGAGACCATTATCTGATCTTCGTTCGCAATCTTAAGATCCGGGAATTCCATCATGTCCAAATCATTTGGATGTGATTTGGTTAAACTCGAATCCTCCCCTTCTGCAATGGCTTCAAGGGGAGCTGTAGCTATGGCTGGAATGGCCATGAACTCTGGTGAAGCTCCAATATACGAAATCGATAGCTGCACGAACCCGGCGGGCGAATGGAACAAATCGGTGGACGAAAGAGAGAACTCTTTCTCCAACTTCCCATTAACAACAACAACTTCTCTTAAAGGGATCAAAGCAAAACCAAGCAACTGATCTTCAAGATAATTCTTGACTCTACTAAGCATCCATAACTCACATTTGAGCGACGTATCGATGGATCGAACGTCGAGGCGAACACTGTCGTTGAAAACTGGATTTCTCCCACCACCGTTGATGGTTTTAGTGGACACAGAGTTTGCAGGATCAGTAGTGAAAGAAAGCCTAGCATACACATCTTGCTTGTGGTATATGCATATGTTATGAATGTCTCTTGCTTGGTGAACCAACACCTCAAGAACACCAACAACTTCCTTATTGTCCTTACCATTTTCCACAACACATTCCTTCTTCTGTTCCTCTGAAACAGCCATGCTCTTAGCTTCGGAAGCCATTAAAACACCTGCAAATTCCCAAAAAAATACCCCAATTTCATTCAACTTGGAAAGATCCTAAAGAACTCACATTTCAAAACTACAATCGGCAGAGTTTTTCACATCAAATACAGAGAAACAGAGCAAAAAAGCCCTAAATCAAAGATGAATAAACAGAAGAATTTGAACAAAACTGAAAAGGGGTTACAAAAACAGTAAGAACCCAGAAGCCATAAGTGAAAAGAAATCAAAACCCTAAACCCAATTACCAGAAATGAGCACCGAATCTGAAAATCCCCAAATCCAGAAACAGAGGACTAGAAAGAACACACGAAGCAGAGTGAAATTCTTAGAATCCGAAAGCGAAAAGACAAAAGAAGAAAAAGGGGAACACAAATAGATAAAGAAGGGGAGTGTTTGTTTGTATTCATACCTTTAAGGCTCCAAAGTCAAAAACGATAATCCGGGAAATCTGGTGCACTTGAGAGCTCGAAATGGCCTCGAGAATGGGAATTGAATGATTTGTTTTTAGGGAATTTTTGTGAAATGGGGTTTTAGGATGAAGAAGAGAGGAGAGGAATCGGGGGTTTGTAAAAGGAAGTCCCACGCGTGGGGGCTGGGAATTGACGAATGAGACCAAGTGGGACACACACAGATAAAGAAACGCAGTGCGGCGTTTTCATTACTGTTTTTTGTGTGAGCAGTGGTGGTGTTTCAGCTTTTGAATCATCCACATCGCTGCCTTTCTTCAATTATTGATCAACAAAGTTCTTTAAATATGATATCTCAAAAAGGAATTGCTTTGGCTATGGAAATAAGACATCCAACACTTTGGTAAACTTTGAAAATATGTTCTTTTTGATGCAAGTGGGAAAAGAAGAGAGCTGTGGAGTTTCCATCAAAAGGGGGAAATTTTGTGTTGTTACAAACTTACCATGACCAACTTCAAGTTCAAATTTTGAATTAAGGTGCGAGGGAAATTTCCAAACTAAGCTACTGTTCTATGATGGAAGTCCCCATCCACTAATTTAGGAAATGATCGTAAGTTTATATATACTTATTCCTTATATTATTAAATTCTAAGTAGGTTTCATTTCTTCTCTTATGATTAAGCAACTATCACGGACTTATGTCAAATTTCATTTTCCTCCATTTTTTTTGAACAACTCATTATTCAATATTTTCTACCCGACATAAGATATCACATACAAACTTAATGATATCACATACAAGTATGACGAGGGAGACGTAGAATTTTGATCCACTAACAATTCAAGATGGTCCTCAAACATTGGTATGGACCATTTCCAATCATAATTTCTTTGGTTCTCTAATAACTTTTGTCAAGCTAAAAATAATACAACTCCTCCAAATACTCCTATCACCAAATTTTAGGCCTTCTAAAACTCGTTTTCAAATGGAGATAAGATTTTACTTGAGACTAGAGACATATGTGACATACTTCAATGCCCATTGATTTCCTATTGAAGTTCGTATGCATATATTTCATTTTCCTTCAATCTCTACGACTTTGTTGTCGGCGAGCTACACTTTCCCAAAATTTTCAGGTTTGAAATTTCATAACAATACCTTGTTTCAACACGAATGAAAAGATGCACATGAATCCAAAATCAAAGATTCAATCGAACTATCCACACCGAAGATTAGAGCATCCCAATGTTTTCTGCTAAATTTATAGAATCATTATCATCTCAACAATTCCAATACATTATATTTGGTCTGTTTGGAGATGTTCCTTAGTTCTTTGATTTTGTTTGACTATGAATGTTTGAGGTCTTTAATTTACTTCTTTCCCTTCGGTCAACACTGAGAGCATTGTCCGATGAATCACCAATTTTCTATTTGCAAATACTTTCGCTAAGGACTATATCTCAAATTTTATCAAAGCTCAGCTTCTTAGATCCTCAAAAATTGTTGTTGGCAACAACAACAATCTCCCACGATTCCGGTTAGATGACATCAAAATCAATATTTCATCTTCAAAATTAATTTCCAACACTGCCTAAGAGAATACAAATAATGCACAAAATACATACTCAAAGCACTACGTAAGAAAGTATACATATGGTTCAGTTTACAATAGATAAAAAAAAATTATTATGCACACACTTGTTAGATATTGGCTCAAGTTAATAATGCAACGATCCATGTCAATGGTTGAAAATTCTAATTTGGTACTTGATGACTCCGACATTTCCCTACATCCCTTGCAACATAGTCACTTTACTTACTACTTGATTCTAAGAGTGAAGTCTATTCACACATATGAGTTTTTTAGGCACGTTTTGTCCTCACTCATGCTTCCTAGAAAAATTTTTAGGAGATCACCCAACATAAAATTCCAACTTTGAATTTCTATAATTGAGTCATCGAAAACAAAAGTACATCTGTTTTATTGAGAAGTCCATAAGAGAAATTGATGGATATCGTAAACACCCAACTATCAGACGCTTGAATGAATCGAAGAAGTTGCCTAGCTGAGTGGAAGCATCCAACTAGAAGGCAAGAGCAGTTGCTAATGTTAAAGATAAACTAGCTGAGTTTTGAAGAATATAAAAGTTGGTTAACCCCGTCATTTAGTAGATTCACTGCCCAAAAAGGTAAACAACTCTCATACCTCAATTGTATTTGATGAAAGAATGAGAACAATGTTTAAACCACGATTAGGTTTATGATGGGCAAGGGAACCGTTTGAAACTTTGACGTCCCTTAAAAGTTTAGATAGTTGTAGAACCTAGGCCTGAACTTTGAGAATTGTTTTTTTGATAATTTTGTAGGTTAAGGATGTGATTAGAGCCTAAAAGTTGGTTTTTTACCAAATATGTTTATACTCACCAAATAATACTTTTTATTTTTAGATAACTATTGATTTTTTTTTATCGAGGCCGAAGAGAATTAAAAAGTTGAGCCGTTACAGAAAAGGGGTGTAATCCTTTAATTTTTTAATCTAATCTTGTTCCTTGAATAGTAAACTTCTTAATAGCACATTCACTTATGTCTTTGATTTTTTTTCTTTTAAATTTGGTGTTTTTTATTTTTAAATTATACAAAATTTTATTATATTCTTTTGTATCTGTTCAGGTGAGATATTTGATCGATAAGGTAATATGAATTTAATCCAAAACAGCAGTAGGTCCTTGACTACCCAATTAGGAACATCCTAAATGAACGACTTACTCATTTTCGACCCTAAATGAGAAGCAATGAACAATATAAAAGGAGAAGGTTACTTAAAAAGAATGAGAGCCCCCAAAGGAAAAAACGGAAAAGACACAAAATAGACTTCTGCGGCTGTTAAACCAGATAGCAAGAGGAAGAATAACTCTAATTTAGCAACTATTGACAGCAATAGAAAAAGAAGACCAAGAAGAATAGATTAACCCTAATTCAGCAACTATTAATTGGATGACTGAATGAGGTGCGATGACCAATTCCACTAGTGACTTAAGATGGTGTCAAGACACATGGACCATGTTAATTGAAAACAAAAATGATGTTGGATGCTACATTGCACACGGGAGACCTTGGCCTAATGTAGAGGCAAGTCGATTGTGTTGTAGATAAGAACATGTACACGAGGGTGGAGTGTGTGGCCAAACAAGCTTGGATTCAGCACAAATGATGTTTGATGGATGAAGACAAATCTCGCCTAAAGTCCGACCAAGCCACAAAGTCGGGCAACAAATGAATATGGGACTTGAGTTCTCCTCAAAGTTGGTCATGAGCATATCAAGATCACAATGCCGCACAGTTGAAAAAGTAAAATCGTAACACCGAGCATAGGAGACCCCAGCCAATCTAACTCCTCACCCATCTAATGTAATTTATTCCATGTTTTAAGTTTCAATCATAAATATTGTTAAACTTTATATTTTATCTCAAATATTTTCATTAATTTTTTTTTAACAATATTAATATGAAATCAATCCAAGGAAAGTTTGGAACAGATTACCTTGATCAAGATCGAGAGTAAAGAAAACTTGTTTCTAAACTCGTGATTTGAATCACTCTACAATAGGTTTGATCAATACTAGTTGAACATGCAAGTTCTAAGTAAAAGTTTAGCTCTCAACAAAATTAAAATTAAAATTTATTCTTCTTAATTTCAAAAGGAGTATTAGAGAACCCGAATAACTATTCATAGCATTAAAAATAAACATTATAATGAGGTTGTAATTTGATGACCATCGACCATTTTTTTAAAAATATTTATAGCCAGCGCAAGATTAAGAGCGTTGCGCTGGCTACAATTAAATATATTATTATATTTCTTGGATTATAAATTCATTCCTTTCTGTAACAATTTCGACAATCGTTATTGAGCACTACGCTGACGTAGTTGTTAGTACTTATGTCCAATGCCATTTTCAAATGAAATATTAGATACCACATATGAGCTCAACAATATCAAATGAAGAATAAAAGATTAAATTCGGTCTCAAAAGCGATCCTCAAAAGAGTAATTTCAATCTAGAAAGAAAACACAAAACATTGTTGTGCAGCTAAAAATGTGCTACCCACGAACATAAATAAAACCTTATAACAAATTAGAAGGGAGTTGATAAAGACAATTTTAATTTTCAACCCAAGGATTCAAGTTTTATAGGGGAATATGACTAGTTGTCAACTTTTCCCTACAGATGGTTATATGCAGCAAGCTGTTGTTGTTGCCTTTTGCTCACATTCCCGCCGTTGTTGTTGTCTTTTGCTTACATTCCCATATAACACAAATTTCAATTTCTCAAATCTTGCTTTCAAAACTCTCTTTTGAAATCTCTCTGCCCCCGTTTTCTAAAACTTTCTTCTTGAACTGGGGCCAAAGGCTCGAACCATAACGTTATCGCATCCTATCTCAAACATATCATTGAACACATCATACCGTAAATGTTATTATACAATTCACATATCATAACATATACATATCATAGTCATATCGATTCATAAACAATTTATACATATCAAATATATGACACGTGCAGAACCATGGAGCATGTGTCAATATCAAATATAACCATGTTGTTAGTAAGGTCATTTACTTGGTTGGCCTTAGCCGACGTTCTATCCTATTTCTAAGATTGACTTGATTTGTCCCTCGAAGTTTGTAACGGCCTACACGGAAGTATTCTACCGTATTAAGAACTTCCGTCTAATTTTTGAAAAAAAGTATTAATCTATATGCCACAGGACCTTATGTTAATTTGTCTCAAAATCTTGTCCGGACTAGGTTCCTTATATTCCATTCTCTGTAATCGATGTTCAGACGCATCGAGTCATCTTTCTTCTTTGACAAATAATGTTGGTGCACCCCAAAAAGGTATGCCAGGGCGGATATAGCCTTTATCTAGTAAGTTTTGTAATTACGCCTTAAGTTCCTTTAATCTTACTTTTACCACGCTATTAAGGACTTAGGTGACGTGGCATTTTTTATAGGTCTTTTAGAAAGGCGTTTGAAAGTACGCTCACTGTGGATACCGTGCCTAAGGTCTCTTCCTTTTCTCTCGCATTCACGATACTCCCTAACGTGGTCCAACCCCCCTCGTTGGACCATTCTCTACGCTTTCACACTTGAGACTTCCCTTGACTAATCTTAACTACTCTACCTTGAACATAATACTGGGTACAAACGATGGTGTGAATACCACTTCTTTTAATAGGGGTCGCCCA